ATATGGGATATCGTGCTAGGTCAACCGAACCAAGGAAACCAAGTGCCTAGATCGGATGAGCAGCCACGATCGGAGATCGACCTGAAGGCAATGACTAGGCGACGACGACCTCCTAACAGGAGAAGTCAACCACGAGACGAGCTTATACCAGGCTCGACCTGAGGGACCATGAGGTCGACTCGACCTCATGAGCAATGGGAGAGCTCAGGAAGACAATGTTCTACGTAACGAACGATCTACCTACTGACGTGGATATGGCCTCATGCAAGACAAAAAGGCATTTAACTCGGGAACAACGCCAATAGGGGGACTGGACCACGTGTCGCGATGAGATTGGGTCTCCTACACACCTGACAAGCCTGACAGTCTCAAGGTTACCACCAAATTCCTCTAGCTCGAGAGGATAGGAAGAGAATGAGCTTTTTGACAAGTCAAGGAACCTACCGCTATGTAGTGATGCCTTTCGGGCTGAAGAAGAGGGCGTGATGTACTAGAGGTTGGTGGATAAAATTTTCAAGGAGCAACTAGAGAGAAACATGGAGGTCGACGTTGACAGCATGTTGGTGAAAAACAAGCGGGAAGTTGACCACGTGGTTGATTTGAGGGAAACTTTCTCTACATTAAGAAAATATGGGATGAAGTTGAACCCAACTAAGTGCTCCTTTGGAGTAAAATCGGGTAAATTTCTTGGGTATATGGTGACCAAGCGTGGGATCGAGGTGAACCTTGAAAAGGTACATGCTGTGGTCGAGATAAAACCCCCAAAAAGCATAAAGGAGGTGAAATGAGAGTGTTTTTCAATTACAGTGTATTTTATTGGGCTTAAGTAAGAATCCTTCAAAATGGATCCCTAAGACTATTTATAGTAAGTCATACCCGGCTACTGTTCATCGGGGTCACACCAATAAAATGTTGAATGACAAGCATTTAATGATAACATGCTACTCGAGGGGCCTAGGGATCATAGGTCTGTAGTGGCGACGTGCCTGTCCCATCGGCCATAATTTGGCTGCTAGTTAGATTATTATAATATTTCCTTCTCTATTGTTCCAGGAACACCGACCCCCAATAGAATTTTTAGATTAGATCGTATGTGGGAGTTGGGTATCGATCTTCGAGCCGCTCGGTCATCTCATGGCTAACCTGGGCCTCCTGAATGAGAGATCCAACCTAAACTTCTGCCTTTTGTAGATCAGCTCCAGACTTTGCGGGCATGCCGAGGTCGAGACTATCGCGTGTAATCCGACTTAGGACCTCGTTTCTCTTGTGACTTGTACAAATTACCCCTAAATAGATCCCGGTCTCCGTCGTTTTTCAACTCGAATATCAACAATATTAATTATGATTTTTTTTTATGCTAGATCAGTATTCTTTACAGAATTTTTATATATTATAATCCTAACCTCTCGCCCTGCTCAAAGCAAAATTATTAAATGTGATTACAATTTTACCATTAAAAGTATATTAAAAATTAAGTCGTTTTTTCAAACAACAATTGTATATCATTTCAAACTTTTGTTGTTTGGGTTGATGTTTATTTTTTGGAGATATGGAAAAAGAAGTTTGTGAGAAATGTGGAAGAAATCAAATTTGTGGGGAATAATGGTGCGAGAATATTGTGGTTGATTTTTAGGAAATGTGAAATGTTTTGTTCGTATATTTATATTTAATTAATTAAATATGATAATAGATAAATTAAATATACGGAAGTAATATTTCCTTATCTAAAGTTATGGGTATTATATTTTAAATTAATAATTTAAAATATAATATAGAATGAGTATTTATGTATTACTAATTTGTCATTAAAAATATGTCAAACTAAGAAACTTTTAGGTAATTCATGATAGGATGATTACTAGTATATTACTAATTTGCCATTAAAAATACTAGTACGAATCCCGTGCGATGCACGGGCAAGAGATATTCATTAATATTTATAAATTAAAAAATCTATTTAAATAATATTATAAATTAAAAACATGAAATCAATATGCAATACAATGTACCTATCTTATTTTATTGAAAATATTATATAAAATTTAAATTGTGCAAAATTTGAAAAATTTAAATCGTGTAAAATTACTTAAAAATGTCTATTTAAAAATTAAAATTAGTACACAACCCGTGCGTTGCATATAACTGATAATAAGTTTCATTATATTCGTTTCAAAATATGTGTTATTCAAATTTTTTATTAAAAAATTCGATTTGACTATAACGTGATTCCATACAATAATCTTTATACCATATATTGATTAATTTATTTCTTATAGAAATAACTATCAATACCAAAAATAAATTCGTCCACTTTATATCATATATTAATTAATTCACATGATTTGAATAATTAAGGTATCTTAAAATATGGCTTAATTATTTCCTTAAATAATAAGTTGCAATTTCCATAAGTGATCGTTTGATATATACCATAAATTGTTAAATTAATTTTCCAGAAATAGTAAATAATTTTTTTTGCAGGGAAATAGTTACTATTTAAAAAATAATCAAACTTATATATATATATATATATATATATATAGATATCAT